ATATTAAACAGAATGAAAGAGTTACAAAATTATTTTATTACAACACAAAATGTATTTTTACATCATCAGCTTTTCACTTTCACTCAAACAGTACTGAAAAATCCGAGGTTACAACTTCATAATTACAGTTACACAGCTACATTTAGAAGAAAATTGATACTCAGACATGATTTTTGATTTCAATCATATTCGTCAGTAGTTTTCCTCTAACTGTAGCACAAAAAGTAAGGAAACTTGTGTTTGGTAGATTATTTCTTTGTTGTAACAATGCTTCTTAGTAATAAATATTATACCGCTGGAAAGCCGCTCTTTTCCTATTTAAATGGTGCCACATTTGTAAAGAACATGCATTTGTGGGATGAACAGTAGATCTGAGTATATGGGTTACACACAGGTTGCCAAATCTTCAGTCACTGCCAAACTGCTGATTTTGTTGTTGATACTGACACTTGTTGTTAAGCTTCTGGTATCCCCAGMTGCTGCCAGTCATAGGATTTATTGCCAAGAAGCATTAATACAAAAATGAAATATTTTACCAAACACAAATTTCCTTACTTTTTGTGCTAAATATATTTTTGTTGAATAACAATCCAGCGTTACCAAAAGTGTCAGATGTAAACCATGTCACGCTCCAACAGATAACAGTAGTCTAACTTGTTTTTATGGGTAAATTTTATTTTGCTGTAAGTTTTAGCTGTGATAACTTGTGGTCTCAATAAGAAACAAACAAAACTCCATCTCACAATGAGATAACTTTCTTGTCTACTTTGCTACTTGAATTTAAGTTTAAACGAAATGATTTAATCTTGGTTTTAGGTTAAGTTGTGAAATTTGTTAATATTGTACAATTCCATGCACAAATACTATAAGATGATAATTAACAAATATGCTAAAATTTGTGCAAATGTAAAGGTCACTTAGGCTACGTTCACACTGCAGGTCTTAATGCTTGATCCTGATTTTTTTAAAAGAAGTCCGATTTTTTTGCACGAACACATTCTCGATATATTTTAAATCCACCAAACTTCAATCTGGACGCTCCACAGCACTGATGAAACCTGCATGCGCAGAAAAAGATGCAAAGTCTTTCAGCTCACTGCTCAGTATTTACAGAAGTAAACATGGATGCTACTTGTTAGCATGTCGGATCTGAGGTTGTGCAATTATCCATCCATCCATCTGTAAGAAAATTTAGTGTTCGTTTACTGAAATCGTGACAAAACCACCTGAATGTTGAATAGATTAAAATATAAAGAGAAGGACCATACAACACCAGTGACTGGAGTGAATGGTGATTTAATGCTCTCAAGGCAGGCATGAAACCAACGCTGAATGAAAACTGGAAGTCCCAGTCTATATATACATGTTTCTTCAGTGCCTGGTACGCCCACTACAGGCCTATGGCTGAATCGCAGACACTCATAAAGACATCCTGTCCTCATGTTTGATTAACGGTATTTCTATGTGTTGTGATGGTGTTTCAGGCATGTATTTAAACCTGTTTTAATCGAGACATAACAATAGTCAAACAATGGATTATAAGAATCAATACTTAAGAAGGAAAACTATGAATATGGTGTGGTGCTTTTAAAATCAGTTTCTAAATGACTAAATAAATTTCTTCACATCATTATCTATACCCGTTTCTTCCCTTCAGGGTCACGGGGGTCACTGGTGCCCATATCCAGCAGTCACAGTACAAGGGGCAGGGTACACCCTGGATAGGTCGCAAGTCCATCACAGGGCTGTTGTGCAATTAGAGCAGATTAAATAATTATCTGACATACTTTGTTAGTTCAATGTTTAGATCTGGACCTGCCGGCTGCTCCGGTGCAGCAACGTACTAAAAGTAAAACATCGATCCATTAACGTTAGTATCATTACGGTCTGAGACAAACAGTACGTGAAAAATTAAAAGAGCTAAGATGAAGCAGCTGGACTTCTGTAGCTGAAGACGTGCAGAAATACTAGATATAAACTGCACAAGTTTGGCATCAATTGTCAAAAATACTTGAATCTATCTGCTCACTCTCAGCTCACTAAAAGTTTGAATGATACGCAAACTGAGGTTGCTTTCGAAAACATCAGATATGTATCTGTTTTACCTCCCGTACTGAAAAGGCCTGGCTCAGATTAGGAAAAAATCAGATTTGTTATATTCAGACTGTCACATTTACCTGCAGAATGAATATAACCAAAGATGCTCATATTATCAAAAGCATGCTGAAGTTTGAAATGGGTTAGCATATTTGTTACCATTAACACAATTGTGCTATTGATAGCAAATTTATGTTAACTTTTACGTTCTCAGAAAATGTCGGAATGTGACTATAATGGCATTAACTATTAAAAGATCATTTGAATAAGAATCATGTCAACAGCCTCTGGTTAACGAGACATAGAACATATGACTGAAAAGGCAATAAAGCATGACTCCTCGTCTAAAGTTTTTTTTAGATTACGTAGTGATGTGAAAATGTCAGATTGCACTTTTCCCCTCCTTGTATGATGAGCAGTTTTCGACTGCAAGCGCAGCAGAAAATATCCATTTAAAAAAAAATCAGAGTAATGTGAATGGAGCCGAGGACACATACTGAAAAAGAGCATTTACGCTTTCCTCTCAAGACAAAAAGACATTTCAGAAATCACTACATTTATCATAAGGAAAGGACTCGGAGTGCACACAAAAATGTCCTGGAAAGATTTATGGCTTCCTCCCTCCATACATAAGAATAACAATGTATAGAAACTAATTCATTTATCAGCCAAAAACAAATAAATAACAGGCATCTCTGCTATGATCCTGTCAACAAAAATACTGTCTGTGATTGTTTTATCAATATAGAAACTTCAGCTAGTTCACAGTAACCATTTAATATGAATAGACATCTTATTACTCAGACATGTCCTCTTTATGCTCACTAAAGATAATAAGTCCCATAAAATAGAAACTCAATAGTGTATCGCATCAAACGAGTGGTGTGAACTCAGCAAAAGGCAGATAGCTACAGAGAAGGTGGTGCGTAAAAAGTGTCAATAACAGACTAAGGAGGCACAGCTGAGGTGAAGGCTGACTGATTAGCAGATGATAATAGGTGTGCTAAGGTCGAGACATTCTGAGGCCTCCTGGTGCACAGGTGAGGTCTTCAAAGCTGCTTAAATAAAACAGCAGGTACACAGAAAAGCTTGTTTTTAAAAGGTGAAAGCAAACTTTCAGACCAAAACAATAAATGTTTTATAAAGAATAAAAGCTAAATAATGCAGCAAATAAAGCATTGATGACTCTCAGGCAATAATACTCCAGAAATATTCCGCAGATAATTTTTTCCCATGGTTTTCTCATGATAACGACATGGAATGATGAACACAAGAGGAAAACCATAACTCGTTATCTCGAGAAAACCATCGGGAAATAAACTTATCTCGAGAAAACGCTCATCGTTATTTTGTGATAACAACATAATATGYTGATTTTCTCATGATGGAAAAAAATTATATGCGGAAAACATCCGCTCTCGGCTTCCGTAATTATAAAATAGTGGACATCATTTCACAATATCTGAGTACTAGTTAGATTAATGCTTACAGTTTTTTTTTAAATCAGTCATTTTGAAGGGACTTGATTTTGTCCAACTTACACGTTTGTTCTTGTTTCATTTCTGTGACCCTGCATAGGTCTGACCTACTTTAAAGTCTGTTTTTTAACCTTTTAAAGCAGGGGTGCCCAAACCTTTTCCCAGACAAAGCCAAGATAAAAATCTATCCAAAGACTGCAGGCCAAATGCAATAATTTAATACATGAAATACAAATACTTTTAAAGTAAAATCCTTTTATTCCTTTTATTCCATTTTTTGATTAAGCTAACAGCCAGTGCGGTGTGCCACAATTTTTTTGTTTGTTTTTAAGCCGGTGCAAAGTTTGATGTATGCTTGGGCAGCAAAGGCTCATGGGACATTTCATAAATTGATAAAATATGAGTATTTGTGGTCTTATAAACTGTATAAATCTATGTGTGGGCTTAAATCTAATCTAAAGATCTCCTGTAGTTATTTGAATATCATGTTCAATCTTAAAATAATTAAAAGCTAAAATAAGCACCATGAGTGAAATCTGCACTACAGACCATTATGTGGTCACTGAACCAATAGATGGATTGACTGTGAGTGGACATACAATGTTTCTACATAGGACAACAGGAGATTAGAACATCATAACCAAGGCAACTGCTGGTGGGCCAAATCAATTGGATTGGTGGACCAATTTTTGCCCACAGGCCCTATTTTGGGCACCTCAACTTTAAAGTTTGTGTTCTGGAGTTCTGAAGTTCTGAGTTCTGGAGTACTGAAGCCAGGAGACAGTGCTAAGTGTGTAAAATCCTTCCACATAAAACAAATAATTGCAGATTATTTCAGATCTGGAGAGGAGACATTTGGTCAATTGAAACAATTTAGAGGTCAGTGACTGACCATTAACCTGTCCTCATTCATTAGTGCCTTCACTTTAGGGCAACGTGATGGTAACGGCTAGGAGAAATGGAATTATCAGTCATTCAGCTCCCAACCGTCAGTCAATTTAGTGATTCACACTTGTTTTTGCATCACAGAGGTGTTTTTCCTCAATGGGAGAGGTCTTTAATTAAAAAGTGTCCCCAGGGTTTCAGCTGTCTTCACATTCTCTGTCAGATCCCTATAGATTAGATCACAACATGTAAGTTAACCATCTGTGGATTTTTCTTTTGTATTTCTGAGCACTGTGTTTTAATTTGTGAACATCATGCTAATTAGATTAATACTCGTGCATGCATTACACCATATGACAGATGAGGTTTCCTGATGCAAAATGGCCAAATCGGAAATATCACACTACTGTTGGATTGATGGAACCTCCTGGGGAATTGGAGATAGCTGCAGAAATAGGTGTTGACAACGTGTTTTTGCACGTAATTGGACTTTGGCTGGGTCTGTTCGATTGTACCGTATGGCCAGCTGCCCTAACTGGCAGCGTGCCTTTCATCCATGACCTCTGGGTGTCATTCTCATCACAGAATCCTTCAGACTTACTCAGGTGGTACACAAAATCAATATCGCAAACAGAAAAGACCTAAATCAGAACAGTATGTCGCCATTGTTATCGGAGTCAAATGCTAGGAGTGCTGTTGTCTGAAATAAGGGCTGAACAAACACAGGATGTGTCTCCCTTTTGAGTCATAATCCATAGGAAGATTAATTAAAAAGTAAAAAGTCATATTGTCACGTGTAATTTCATGTGAATATTTTATCTCCATTTAATATATGAACAAAATAAAAAGACAAGTTAATYTCACACAGATAAGATAGTAAACCCACGGAATACAATTCCAAAACACATAAATTAGGATAATGTCTCTGTAGTTAAGTTGATGTCATAAAAAAAGACTATTAATTTCTGATTGCAGAGCTGCTCAATTAGTGAAGGATGTTTTGTTGTTGATGCTGTTGCTGTTAGCCTGTTAATTAGCCTCTGAACTCTTTTTTTGTTTTGAGAATAATCTTTATTATGAGAAACGAAAATCTGTACTGACTACCAAAAATGCTAATAAAAAGTTTTTRCTGACTACACATGATGCAGACAGAAATGATGAGGAGCAAAAGGAAGAAGAGTTTTATCTTTTTAATGGAGGAAAAGTTCGATGTCTGGAGGAAGTGTCACTTTAAATCAATACCCCAGAACTTTTGACCTGCCACAAAAAAGTCTGGTTCAAATGAGTCAAATTGAACTTACTTGCTATTTGTTTGAATTAAAATCGATTATTCATTACATTGACCATGAAGTGCCAACATTTTAATAAGAAAAGGTCGTGATTAAAACAAAGTAGAAAAATCACTTTCAAAACCATCAACAAATGAAAAGACAATAATTAAGTCATTAATACTAAGATTTCTGCCAAATATCCACACTTTTGATTTTGGAAGAGACTGAACTGAATTATCTTTTTAAATAAATAAAGAGGAAAAACCTATTGCAGCTTTCTGTAAAGCGCTTTGTGGCCCATGTGGACTTGATAAGGCACTATGTAAGTTCAAACCATTATGCTCCTTTATATGTACGTGTGATTGTTAATTTCTGATGAATTTAAAGAGTTAGTGAGGTTTTGGCTGTTGGCTGTATAAAATTAAAAATAAAACGGTTATCTTGAATTCTATCAAATACTGCAGTTTTAAAATATTTATTTCAGTTTTTTTAAGCAATAGAAAGTAAAGCAGAAAGGCTGGTCCATGCTCAATGTAAACAAAGTGCGAGGCTGAATTTGTAATAAATAAAAATAAATGGTGTAAGATCTAAACTTGGTAATATCACATGTGGAGTCCCTCAAGGCTCTGTACTGGGACTTAAGTTATTTACTTTATGTGTGAATGACTTAGTATGTGTCAGGACTTTTCAAAAGTGTTTTATTTGCTGACAATACATTTTTTTGTTTAGGTAAAGATCTAGAAAAAATGTTTGAGATGGTACAGAAAGAATTCGAGAAAATACAAAACTGGTTTCAACAAAACAAATTGTCATTACATTTGGATAAAACAAATTACATAATATTTAGTAATAGGAAGACAACTGTTGATTTCTCATTTAAAGTAGATGGTATTGAGATCTGTAAAGTCACTGAGGTGAAATTTCTGGGTGTCATCATTGATGACAAGCTGACATTGAGACCTCATATACATTATTTAAGAACAAAAATATCTAAATCTATTAGAGTACTGTATAAAGTCAGGGAGTTATTCAATGACAAAGCTCTGTTTGTGTTGTACAATTCAGTAATTGTTCCACATTTAATTTACTGTAAAGCTTGCAAAACAATTACAAATCCAATTTTTGTTTTGCTGAAAAGAGCCGTAAGAATTATCGTGAGAAAATATTACAACCATCCATCAAATACATTATTTTGCAACTTGAAAATTTTGAAATTCTATGGTTTGGTTGACTATAATATTTTACTGTTTATGTACAAGGCTCACAGAAACATATTACCTTCCAACATTCAGGCAAATTTTAAGAGAGAAAGTTATTATTATCTCAAGGGGATGGAAATGTTTGTAAAGCCATATTTTCATACTTGCTTGAGAGAAAGATGTACTTTAATCCAGGGTATATTCTAATCCAGGGTATAGGATTGTGGAACGGTCTGGAGGATGATCTTAAAAATGCCAGATCTGTGTAAATATTTAAGAGACAGATAAAAGCTAGTTTTCTGAAGGTATATGGAAAATTAAAATGTGAAACTATATGAATTGTTGTTTGAGTTGATGTTTTTTATTTTTATTTAGTACTGTTTTGTAAATTATGTTTTGTTTGAATATATTCTGGGGATATAAGGGGCAGACATTATAAGGTTTATTCTTCTTCTGCTACCTTTCATTTTATTTAGATTTTTGATTTGTGCATTTTCTTTGTTTTTATTGTATATAGTTATTCTTTAATGAAATGAATACATTTTTTGAATTGAATTTGTTAAAAATCCCAAAGAAGCTTGACTCGCATGATTGACCAACATTAAGCTAAGCACATTTTCTCTTTTAACTCTCATTTGGTCCCGCTGATTGCTCGATTACATTCATAGGCTTCTCGCTGACGACGTCCGCCTGAAGCTAAAGTGCACATAAAAGTTTAAAAACATTTGTTTTTTTCCGCTGCAAACAGGTACATTAAGGGTAAGAGAACGCTGTAGCTGCAGTAGAAAATGTATCATTGTAAGGTACAAAGCTTCTTAAAACTGAGGGTGGCTGTTAAGCTGTTAATCCGGGCGCGAGTCTCCTTCCACACTGTCACACTGTCTCCAAGCCGTCATTTAAGTGTTGGTTTTTGGAGAAAAAAAAATCAATTACAGCCACTTTGAAGTCCTCCTAAAAGCCCCCCTGTATTATTTTCTCTCACCATGTCTTCTTCTAATGAATTGAAGCTCTGGTTTCACCAAAGACGTGGGAAGGCTGCARGTCTTTTGTCATGTCAAGATGTCTGAATCAGAGGCTACAGTAATAATAGCGGTGTAACTCTATAGCAGCAGTCTGAGACGTGTTGTAAGTGTGAAAACCAGACCCAGAAGGCTCCCTGTGCAGACGCTTGGATAKGTTTGGCCCTTAGGGACCACAAGTCAGTGGGATAAATGACTCTGGCATAGAGATTCTTCACTTTGCATTCATAATTGACTTTAACAGGATCTGTTAAAATGCAACAAACAGGAGYAAAACATCCAGTATTTGCTTACCCAAGTTTGCACAAGAGTGGTATTCATCTCTGTTAAGGATTCGACTCTGCTTTGGTGGAATTTAAAGCACTTTTGTTTCTGTAAATATTCCTCTCCGAGCAGCCAAACAGCCACATTTCAGCACAAATCAATACACGTCTTACCTTCTCTTTATCCCTCATGGACCCTTTGCCAAGGATGGACATCTTCACTCCCGTCTCCTCTTGTAATCTTTTCATAGAATTCCCCCGTGGGCCCAGCAGCTTCCCTACAAAGTTAAACTGTGACACGAGAGAGAACGAAGAAGAGAGAAAGAAAAAAAGGGGGGGGGAGAATCAGACGGCTTATCGGCACTTCAAACATATGTGAGCAGAGCACAAACGTTGGAAAAACCCAGATATGTATTTGAAGACAAATGTCACTGAAGGAGTGTCTTTATGTGCCAGATGCAAAAGGAATTTGATCTATTCGGAGAAAAGGTTAACCATAAAAGATGTTTGCTGTCTATTAATCATATTTTATCAATATAATCTCACATTCCATTAACCATTCGTCATGAGGGGGGAAAAAAAGCTGTAATGTAGCTTGTAATAAATCAATATCATGTTGCTGTTGTGTGCGCAACGCCCTAAAGGTGAATGTGAATCTCATCTGCGGTCCGGGGTGACATTTGTGTCTATTCCTCGCTTGAACTGAGCTCTCACTAGTAATGTATCTTATCTGCGTTCGCCATCCATGTTGGGCTGTAGACAAAAAAAAAAAAAAAGGGAGCATGGACTCAAACCAATAACGTTCCTGAAACAGTTCCAGAGGTCAGTGCTGAGATAAAGTCAGAAATAATGAGTTTCTTCCCAGTGGGAAATTAAGTAATACTATCCAGATGACAAACCATCAGATTCAAGCCTCGAGGCTCTGGCTATCATTTTCCTCTCGCTGCGCCCCAGCTCGTGTTCATATTGAGAGAAGGATCGGTCCGGGGTGCTGCTGGCACCACGCTGCTAAGATTAGCGGTGATTAATTTAAGTGGTTAAATGCATAACATCACTGGATCCAGTGTGTGTTTTCTGAGAAACATCTAAGCAGAGGAAAGGAAAAAAAAACACAACTAAAACACATGAAGAATCTTTCTGATATCTTGAATCTAATAATCAAACTTCAAAATAATACATGAAGCCTTTCATACTGAACAGATAAACATTTTTTTTTACATTTCAGATCTTTAAAGTTTACAGTTTTATTTTTTAAACAACAGGAACATGCTGGGAACAATAGCCTTCAAAGTTTTATTCAATTTTTTGTTAAATTAAATGCAAAGGATAGGGCCAAAAAATAAATAAATTAAGCCTTTTGCCTTCAGAACTGCCTCAGTTCTTCGTGGCATAGATTCAACAAGGTGCTGGAAGCATTCCTCAGAGATTTTGGTCCATATTGACATGATGGCATCACAC